TAGGATGCACAGACATTCTCCTGGAAGGTAGAATAAAGGCTGCACCTGAAACTCAAAGCCAGTGAATCCTACTCTTGAACTGGTGCCAGGTCATGTTTTGCCAGACAAAGATATTAAAAATGTAATGCCAGCACTAACGAGAGATTTGGCACACAAAACATGAAGAATGTTACAGATTGTGCTGACAGTGTGACACTATGTTTTCCTGGATGTAATCTGGGTATCATGAGAGTAAGCTTGGAGCACTAATGAGAAGGATGATATTGAACTGGAAGAGCTGCTAAATATGCAGTAGCCACAGGGTTCCTGGAGTGAACTGGAACTGAAAGGAAAACTGCAACACCAAAAGTAACAGAGGGTAAACTAGGCAGAAATACAGAAGGAAGAGAATCTCAGCAGGCAAAACTTGTTTCTGGTACCATCCTTGCCAAGACATAAAGGGCTTTTCTAATCATACTCTGTTTATCCCTGAAGTACTGTTAAAGAGAAGCAGGAATCTCCAGCTTAAAGGGGCACATAGCATTTCAGGATAGAAATGAGTTTCACAACTGAGTGGAGAGAGCACCATATAAAAGTTGAACAGAAAACCTCTTTAGGTGCAAGAACTAAAATACAAATTGAAGACAAAAAGATTGTCCTATTTCTTCAAGGTTCCTGCTTTTTTTTTTGCTGTTGATATTGCTGATTTTTGCCTCCTACTTGTATCAGCTACAGTTAGTGATCCTCATATGAAATGCACATAAAATTGCTTGACAGTGGACTCTCTTTGACCATCTCTGTTGGAATTCTTGGCATCTGCACCAGAGATCTAGACAGGAGATGTGCACCCAAATAACTCTGGCAGACAACAAAATCTGTGAGTGTGCTAGATGTTCACTTATTGAGGCAAAAATCACAAATATATATATAGCCATTGGAAAAGTGGCTATCACTAGAACTTTTATAGAGTGCCACCTAATTTATCTCTTCAGTCAGTGAATGTCCTTGTTCCACAAACCTCAGTTGCTTCCAGTGTTGCCTCTGGTTTCCTGGCTCATGTTAAACTGCTGAACATCTTCAGTTGCCACTTACATTATATATAAAATTCACAGCTGAAGTTATACCTAATTTTCCAGTTCTGTGGAAGGACAAGATACAGAAGAAAGCAGCAGACAAGCAGTTCTACATCTTTAGGAGTGTGATAACTGAGGGAATAACACAATAACTCTGAAGCTCCATATTATGCCTTAGCCACAGTTGTCATTTGTTTCCACTGTACTCCAGATTCATACTCTTCATAGGAATATAGAGAAGAAAATTCTAAGGTAGAGTAGATTTATCCCTTTTCCTTCCCCAGGACAATACAGTTTAATACTATCAACATGTGGAGATAATGCATAATTCAGTTTGTCTCGTAATAATATATAGTACAAGGGAAAAATAGCAAAGAAAATTTAACCCATGGATAAAGAGGTTTAGTCCACACCAAGTCCTCCACTACTCTGAGACAAGGAAAAACAGTAAAGAGATCAGGGTTTGTTTTTACTTTTTTTTTTTCCTTTCCCCTTCAATGTCAAATGTAAGGATACCAAAAATAAACCAGCATGTTTTCTGGATTCAGAACTATGTCAAGCAGAAATTATTCCTCACTTTTAGTAACTGGGAACTTATTTTTGGATGCACTTGAAAAACATACTACAAACGATTATTATTATTTCCTTTAAAGACTAAAATAATGATATTTGATTAAACTGATACAGCACTCTTTGTCTGCAACTGTGATGTTTTGTAAAACAACAATGAGAAAGCAAATTACCATCCAGAGCAAATACCACTACCTGTTTCTCCCTGCTATATTGTATTTTAAACCGTTTAATGCACCCTCTAAAATAAGCACACCAAAAGCAAAAGTAACCTCCATTCAGCACCAGGATTAAACCCAGGAAATAATTTAATAAAACTCTACAAGAAAAATGACTTAACTGTTGAGGACAATACAGCACTAATGTGTTTCATAACCAATGTCTTACCGACTGGAAGAGGGTCAGCGCACATGTCACTTCTGTTTTGCTTCCATGCCAGCAGGTACTTGAAGCTGACAGCATCTTCTGCTCCTACATGCCCAGTAAATTCCACCAGCAGCTTGTGAGCATTTGCAATGCCACAGTAAGCCTTTGTTTGATCCACTGAAGGCAAATTGTTGGAAGTTTTTGCTGCCTCGGAAGCCTGACTGAAATACGCAGAAGCTTCAGTGTAGTTCCCCTAGTAGAGAAGGGGGAAAAAAAAGGATTAAAAAACCCTACTCATAGTCACCTGTGTTTTATTTTGACATTAGAGCTTGGTCCTCTGGCACCTCAGAGATGTTGCAGCAGAGAGACCAAGGCCAAGAATGACTCATGGCAGGGCATTAAGCAAATCACTCTCCCTTGCTGTTTCCTGACCTCTAAAATCCAGGTAACACTGCTCTCATCTTCCTCAGACACCGAATTGTTTCTTGGTTATCTGTGTGGTATTTTGAACATACAAATCCACATCTATCAATGTGAAGTATTAATACTGATTCCAGCCAGGCCAGTTAGAAATAATCACTATTGTTTCATTGCATTCAACTTATCTGGGGGAGGAAAGGTTCTAATTTACTACGGTGGAAGTAAATTTTAGAAAATAAATCCTAAAAATGGAAAAAAGAGGATAAAAAGGTGATAGATCTAAAGCACAGGACAGAAATTAAACCCTACATATTTATGGGGGAAGAAAGGGATATACCAAACCCCTGTGATCTTCCTAATCACAGAAAGCAAAACAGTAGGAGAAATATAAGCTGATTGTTGCTGAATAGAAAACTCAATTAATTTATCTCTTTATGCTACAGAATACAGAAATCCAACATTGATGAATCCAGTAAAAAGGAGTATGAACTATAGAAGATAATACATTAAGAGGAATTAAAAAAGTATAACAAGCACAATTTTTATTATCAGATACAGAAAAAACCTCTCCTCAAATTCTTGACCAAAGAGGAATAAAAAGAAAACTAGGGAAAATTCTGATATGCTGAAGGACACTGCTGAAAAGCTGAAATATTTCTTGGTATAATTCTTAATCATTTGCATATTTCTCCTTTGCCACGAATCTACTCTGAGTAAACATCAGAGATGGAGCAAAAGGAAGAGTTGCAGGAGCAAGTTTGTAATTTCAAAGGTAACATTCCACCAAACCAAAAGATAAATGAAAGATTTGAAGACATCTCAAGATGAAGAGATTAATTTGCTGGGAAATAAATGACATCTCTCATTAAAACTAGGAAATATAATTCAGGCTTGAAAGGTAGTACATTTTCTGTTGGTATTATTTGTGGCAGTGTGCAGTAACTTAATGCTTTAGTACCAGTTTTGTCTAATGTTTAATTATCATAGAAAAAGAATCAGATGACAGTTTTGTCAAGATTGTCAAAAAAGGTAAGAAATGAAGGTTTTTTGCAAGGATTTGAGGAATTTCAAAAGGATAGCGAAATGAGATGAATTCTTTAGGAAATGAGAGGCATTTCACACTGCCTGAATTCTTTGTAACTTTTAGTGGGTTCTGATTTACTCAGGCTCAGAAAGGCCTTGAAATAACATGGACAGCTCTGCAGAGGCTTCACCTAAATGCAGCTCTGATATCTGGTAAGGTCAAAAAAAAATCAGGATGATCAAGAATGCAGGGAAGAAATATAGAGTAGACACAAACTAAATAAAACTGGATAAAGTAAAAATATGCCAAGCAGCAAATATAAACTGGGAAGACAATGAAAATTGCTATCAACTACAATAGAAGAATAGAGATAAAAGAAAATTAAAAATTATTATGGATAGTCATGGAAATTACTGTGGTCTTTAGGCTTTGTTTGGTCCAGCAGTAGAGCAGAATTAAACCTGTGAGGACACAGCAATGAATAAAGAACAATAAGCTGTAATAATAGATAAACCCCAGAAACACCTACCTATTATACTCATGAGAACTCCAACAGGTTAAGTGATGCAATTAGTGAGAGGAATGCAGCAAATCAGACTAAGAAACTTGAGAAAAGTGAAATCAGAAATGACGGTGTGACCTGTAACTTCATCAGAGTTTGCATATTAAGTAAACAACCTGCTTAACAAACTGGGAGCAATGAGACCTAATACTGGTGCATAACACTAACCCAGACATTTTAGGGAACAAGAAACATCTGGGGAAAACAACCATGACTAGAAACCAAACTGAGTGTGCAGCACTAAAGGCAGTGATGGTGATGGAATAGTGACATGACAGAAGTGTGAAGATACAGCAACAAGATTTGGTCAAAGTCACTTTGGGAAGAACAGTAAGAGTTATATCCCTGGTTGACTAAAGATCCCCAAGGATAGACCTGGCTATAAATAGAGATATCTTTAATTTGATGAGAAGGACAGTCATAGTGTAAATTGTATCACAGGGGGAAGTCCAGAGTTGAACAAAAATACCCTAATAATGACTTAGAGGAGATTGGTGATGACAGCTGACACCAGCAGGCAGTGATCCTAAAGAGGAAATGTTCATTTAAACTCAGTTTTGGCCAACATTGCTGACCTTGCAGGAAAAAAGTGGTAGAGAAAACAGGGAATTGTAAAACTTTGGGGGTTTTGTTTCAATTACAAATTGTTTAAATACTTAAATATTATTCAAATAATATTTAAATATTCTTTACATTACATATTTGTTTACATTACATATTATTAATTACTTATATTATGTTTAAATGACATATTTTATGGAAATTAGCTACACTTGTGGCCTTGTACACCACTGTCCCAGCTCAAGGCAGCAAATTCTGAACTGAGAAAGAGAATGCAAAGAATAAGCAAAAGGAGGTTAATTCAGTTCTTATAGAATTGCTTATTAGCAGTGGTGGCAGAAGGAATGAAATATAGAAGTAGGGAAACAGAATGTAGTCAATTATTTTTCAAATGTGCAGTAGAATAATTAAGCACAGTGTCACATCACCCTGATTTCTCCTAAGTTTCAGTCCATTTTAAAGTTACTTCAGTGAGTTGTCAGACTTTGAAACTTAGCTTTCCATGGGAGATTCAGCATTTTTTATCTGTAACTGCCTGTCTGTTGATTTAACAGGCCAAACCAAAGCCTCCAGGCTGGATGGAGGTATTTAGAAGAGAAAGTCCTTCTACTATTAGCACAGATCTTTGCCAAAATCTTTGCTTCTAGCACCCATTGCATAAATTTGGCTGAGAGAATGTAGAGGAGAAACCAAGCTAAGATTAAAACTTGCTTATTAGTATGCACTGCAGTATACATTAATCTTAAAATAGCAGAAATTTCAATGTGCAGTGCAATAAAATTTCATTAGCATTAACTGATGACTCTATGGGCAAATACAACCTCAGTGGTGCATTGGATGCAGATTTTTCACAGCACTGAAAGTTAACCATGATCTGAGTTTGCGATTTTTATTCATCTATTCTAGAACAAAACCCTGTGTGTTAAATAGAGTGTGAAATTTTCACCTTGCCCAAAAACTGAAGGCACATTTTGTTGCGTCACACAATGTCTTCTCCTTGGGTAACTCTTGTAAGATGTAATACCTGGATCAAATCCTCCTGGGCCAAACCCCAGATTTTTACCATGAAGCAAACCAAGTTCTTTGAGATCATTACTACAACCAATACTTACTCTTTCATTGTGAATATTCCCAAGTAAGACACCTGCATCCACCAGGCTTTGGCTTAGATGAGCATTCACAGCATCCTTCATAAACTCCCCTAAGTACTTCGTGGTTTCGGTCGATTTTCCCTGACTGAAGCAAAGGACAGGGACAAAATTAAATATTTACTCAGATGGCTTCTCCAAATGCTGAAGATCTCTCCCCTTGTTCTGAAGTAACTTTACATTGTGATGACTCATCTGTGACTGGATTTTATTTCCAAATGGCCTCTAGCACTACCTGTGCTGAGCCCAATGAGACGACTCACACAGGATGTCTGAGGGCAAAACCGGATCCTTTCAGCAAAATGCAGCAACATTTGTCTTCAGAATATTGTGCCATATTTTAAGGACAAGAATTAAAATCAAGATGATTATTTAACAAGGGTGTGGGACTTACTATCATTTTGAATTTTTTTCTACTGAGTAGCTAATAGCATTTTCAATACAGCTGGACCTCACATCCCAACAAAATAGGGGAAGGAGGCAAGAAAGTTGTTTTTTCAGGAAGAACTTTTGTGCTCATAGAATTTTAGGGGTTGGAATGGAGCTTAGAGATCATCCAGCCCCAACCCCTGCCCTGGGCAGGGACACCTCCCACCAGAGCAGGTTGCTCAAGGCTCAGCCAACCTGGCTGTGAACACTGCCAGGGTTGGGCCTTGCTCCTGTCATTCCAAGCTGCTGTTCCATGCTCTAGAACCCTGGAGGTGCAGCAGCAGCTCCATAACAGAGCTGTCTCTCAGTTTTGGGGGTCACAGACTTTCCCTGAGCCTAATTTGCACTTTGGCTGGGTGGATCAAAGGCTGCCAGGGTCATGCAGACAAACCTATAAGCTGTGGATTGCAGGTGCCACCTCCAAATCCCAGGGAGATCAGAGCAACCTGAGGTCACAGCTGAATGCAAGTCGAAAATTGGCTAATGTACTTCAACAATAACATTTGCAGATTTCCTTTTTTCAATACAGCCAGTAATATTAGCAATATAAGGTCTCAGCACTATGATTGCAAGACATGATAGACATCTGTGCTGGCTCGTGAGTAAGGCTCTGCTCTCTTTTTCCCTTTCAGGCTGATGTGTTGCTGCTGCTGACCTCAATATTAGCCATGAACTTGAGGCACTAATGTAGGAGTGTACAATGCTAAATGTCAAGGCACGAAGCAAGACAGAAAATCCAGTCTTAATTAAGAACTTAACAGAAATAGGAGTTTCTGTAAGTGATAAAGAATGGTGAGTTATTTTCCCATCATTTTAAACCATCTTCAAGTTATATTCCTGCCGCAAATGGTATTTATTTGCATTACAGTTTTTATTACAAACTATACTACAGATATGTGCTTTCAAAATCTGCCTGAAGTCTGCAACTCCCTGTTTTATGCTAGCAGAGTAATTATATCAGGGTAGAGCCTGCCAGAAAATGGGAATTACAGCAAAGCTTAGCTGCAGATTTGCAATATTGCAGTGATTATCTGTATGTAACTGAGTGAGATTGCAACAAAAGGATGCTAAAGCTCCACAAATTAACATCCTTGAAATGCTCAAGTCTATGCTACTGTAAAGCTTAGCTGTCAATAAGCAGACTTGGATTTACTGAATGCTCCTAATTTAAGTATTTTCGTACCATGAGAATAAGGAATATACTGGAGTGTAAACATTTGCCCAATGTCAAAAGGATTCTAAAATTTAGAATTAGAAATGCATCTTTTTTAAGCTGCTTTTTTTTTTTCTAAGAAGAGAAAAATCAAATGTTTCCCCACAGAAATGCAGCATATGATTTATATAAGTTAAAGGACAAGGTTAAAGTGTTAGACAAATATTAATTCCAGTTTTTCTAGTTTTCTATATGCAGTGCACAGGTGCAACTTGAAGAGCATATTATATGGTATAATCATTAAATCCATTCAACCAGACCTTTGAGAGTTAAAAACATATATTCTGAGGAAAAGGACTCCTTGGTCCAAGGAATGAGAATGAAACAGTGCAGAATATTTGTGTATCAAGGTGATTCCAGTTTCCAATTGGGAAAACAGGACTGTTAACACCCACATCCCCTGACAACTGTCCAATTATGTATATCACACTTGGCCTACTGTTTGCAGTAGAAGTAATCAATAAAGGATGTGGTTGAGTGAACATAGATTTTGGTTGAACCAATGCATGAAAACTTAATCATTTACTCAGAGTGGAGAAATCAAATAGAGCAGAGATGAAACAGCCACTGAGGGGTTTGTTGATTGTGCCACCAAGTTTGTGGGCTAGAGGCTGAAAGTAATAAAGCAAATGGAATCAGTGACAGGAGAAAATGTAAAAAGGTTTTCTTAATTTCTTGAATTAATAGAAATGTTTTGATGTATTTTTGGCCATTTTTTTTATATTTCATGTAAGAACCTATGCTCCACATATAGAAAATATGAAAATTGCTAGGGCATATCACCTCTTCAGGAAGACAGAAATCAATTTGGTACATATCAGAAAGATATTTCTAACTGTTAGGACTTCACTTATGTCAGCTAGCAATCCATTGGCACAGTTTAACAATTTTTCAAAGGAAATACTTCTACAAGCACTAGAGCTTGAGATATTTAAAGTATGCTAGAAGGATTCCTGCAACACTTTATTCTCCACGAGACCTGATAACATGATAAACAGGTCTTTTCTACTCAAAGGGCTAATATTTTATAGTTCCTTCAAAAATCTACATGTTATTTTATACAGCCATATACTTTCTATCTCCTTAGACATCACCTTCCTAGATGCATAAAATGTAATTTCCTAAAGATATAGTCATTCATGATCCCATGGAACAGTTATGATGACTTCAGCAGAAGAGATTACACATCTACAGCAACTCATTTTCCAGTTTCATGCTAAAATGCCCTATGAGATTTTTACCCCTATTAGACTTTTATGAAAATATGCACCTTTTATAGGATTGCTCATGTGATGGAATTGGATGTATAAATCATGTGTCCACGAGAAGTCATTACCATGGTGGACACTGGCAGAATAAGTCAAGAACATGACGCTATTATGTCAGATTTTTTTTCCCTGGAAAATGACATGCCTAAATGCACATGGTAGAGATTTTCACTTTCCCATGGTCTGTGGAAACATCTGCAGCAAAGATTTCAGAAAATATTCCAAAGCCATAGGTAGGTTGTGAGTGATTTGGGAGGGCTCAGCCACTTTCTCCAAGCTGTCACAAGGAAATAAGTGCAAATTCTCACAGACATTCTAGTTATAACATATTTTTTTGGTAAACAGTCATTCTTTTGGTAAATCCATTATCCAACAAATATGAAAGTATTTGCACAAGTCTAGCCTAGATTAGGAAAAAGTACAAGTAAAGAAAAAGTGAACAAGCTGAATATGGAGATCCTGTTACTGGCAGTAATTATTAATGCATTGATCCAATATTTTCTAAACAGTCTTGCCAGAAATCTGCTTGTTTACTATACATCAGACAAGTAAATATGCAAAAGTTTGATGTGAGTAAACAGAAACTTACAATGGAATTAGCTCTTTTTTGTAATGTATTGGAACATGCTGAGGGTGCACTCAGTCACACCATCCAGGTCATCAATGATGAGACTGATCAGTATTGGTGTCAGTATTGATGATCCCTGAGTACACCACTAGTGAGTGGTGTCCTGCTGGACTTCATGCTGCTGCTTACAACCCATTGAGGCCAGCACCAAAGCTGCTTTCAGTCCTGAGTAGACTACAATCATAGAATCATAGAATTTAGGTGTTGGAATGGACCTTACAGACCATCTAGTCCCTAACTCCTGCCATGGGCAGGGATACCTCCTCACAACACATCAGGTTGCTTAAGGTTTCATCCAACCTGGCCTTGAACACTGCCAGGGTTGGGACATCTACTACCTCCCTGGGCAACCTGTGCCAGTGTCTCACCACACTGGAGTAAACACCTTTTTTCTGATATCTAACCTAGACTTCCCCTCCTTCAATTTGTACCCATTACTCCTTGTCCTGTCGCTGCAGTTCCTAACACAGAGTCCCTCCCCAGCATCTTGTAGGCCCTTCAGATACTGAAAAGTTGCTCTGAGGTCTCCACACAACTTTCTCTTCTCCAGGCTCAACAGCCCCAACTCCCTCAGCCTTTCTCCACAGGGGAGATTCTCTAGTCCTCTTACCAACTTTGTGGCCTCCTCTGGACTTGCTCCAACAGTTCCATGTCCTTTTTACATTGAGGCGCCAGAACTGTGTGCAGCATTCCAGGTGGGTCTCACCAGAGCAGAGTAGAGGGGGAGAATCACTTTTTCAACCTGCTGCCGACACTTCTTTTGATGCAACCCAGAATTCAATTGGCTAACTAGAGTACTGTCTTCAGCTCTGGAGTCATCATCACAGGATGCATATGGACCTATTGGAGTGGGTGCAGAGAAGGTCGTGAAGATTATCAAAGGGCTGGAACACCTCTTCAGTGAAGACAGGCTGAGAGAGCTGGGGTTGTTCAGCCTGGAGAAGTCTCCAGGGAGACCTTATTTCAGACTTATGGTACCTAAAACAGGCTTAAAATAAAGATGGGGACAAATTGTTCAGTGGGGCCTGTTGAGACAGAACAAGGGGCAATGGTTTTAAACTGAAGGAGGCTTGATTTAGATTAGATGCAAAGAAGAAATGTTTTACAATGAGAGTGGTAAAACACTGGAACAGGTTGCTCACAGAGGCAGTAGATATTCTGTTCCTGGAAATATTCAAGGCCAGGCAGGATAAGACTTTGACCAACTTGTTCTAGCTGAAGATGTGCTAGACAGGTTCTATAAAAAGTACCACAACAGCCATTTGCCAGAGAAAAGGTTTATGGTTGGGCCTTCATTGGAGCAACAGATTAGCAGTTAAATCCCTGATCCTATACATGAGATTGCGTTCCTCCTTCACTTGAATCAATCAGAATGTTCCCCTTCTAGGAGGATGCCTTAAATACTAAACTGGGGAATTTTAATGCTCTTAGTATTCCTTCTCATTGCTCCTTTCCTACTGTTTTCCCTCTTTTTCAAATTGTAAAGCAGTGAGATTGTTCATTCCTGGAGAGCTAAAGAATGCTCCCAGAAGGTGTGCAGTGCAGATTTGATGCAGAAGAAAATCACTAACCACTCCTTCTTTAGCTCTGCTTTTAAGAAAAGACTTTGCATTGGCATGGTCCTTCAGACAAAAGGTTTAGCAGCCTGATATCAGAAGGATCTCCAGCTCTGAAAGATAAATGTATGTGCGCTCATTCCAGAAAACCTAAATCACAGAGAGAGGAAATTAATATACATGGTTTTCTAGGAACCCTAGAAACTGCTGCTTTTTGGGAATACAAGAAAGCCATGACTGCTACTGAGAATTCAGATGACTTTGTTCTCATTGCAAAGCCACTCATTTTAACAGCTAGTGTCCTAGCTACTAGACCTTTCTTGGTAGGCTAAAGACAGTTTTGAAAATGGGACCTGGTATTCTAAGTCTGTTCTGTGTCTTTTTGAAATACCTTATCACATGTCCTTATTTAGGGTGCTCAGAATACGTGTAGCCATGAATTATGCATCCCTGAGCTGAAGAGGACTATGGTTGTGGATGGTCCCTACGTGCTCTGAAAGGCCAAGGGACAAGGGATCTGCCTCAAAGAGAAGAATTTGCTCTGCACATTGAAATAAACCTGGTGACAAGTGCTTCTCCTTAAGCAATTTGCCAGCCTCTATCATGCATCATAAACACTGAAGACCCTGAAAAAAGGAGGAATCAAGAATAAGCTGCAACCTTCATTTTAATATTTTTCCCTACTTCATATGATAATTGCATTAGACTACTTTATGTCAAAATTATTTGTGTGAGAAGTTGAAGTAGTTTGAAACTGATTCACCTGGAAGAAGATTATAATGCCAGATGCTGAAACAAAAGTATTGAAAACAAACATCACCCTTGAAACAAATTTGTATCTAGTTACAGATGCACAAACCAGAAAGTTTCTACAGAAGAAGTGAGTGCAATAAATGGAAACTTTCAGTCCAGAAAATATTACACTGAGACACCTACTGAAGCTTCCTACACTCTTCAGGGTTTTCTGTCTTTTTTAACCTGTTCTGCATTTCTATTCCCTCCCAAACTTGTGGGGAAAAAAACCCCAACAACTTTAAAAGCCCCCAAAATGTGGAAGAAAGGGACATACAGTTTACAGGTAAAGAAGATCTAGGACCATATAGTTAAAAATTTGTACCAGTTTTAGATAACTTTTGATCAAAGGGTCACTTACTGCAAGAAGGGCAATGCTTAAAATTTAAGCAGTCAGTAATGGGAAGCGACAGACCTCTAACAATCTAAGTCTTTCACAGCTGAATGGATTTGCACTGACAGACAAGGATGTGCTAACCTACCTTGCCAGGATCTCAGCTACAGCTGCATATGTTCTGCCTAGGCCAGCAGAATCACCGAGTGTTGTGAAGATTTCTATAGAGGTGTTCAAAATCTGCAAAACAGGAAAAGAAAACCCAATAAATACCATGATAAGAATCTCCACTTTTTTCTTTACTTATTTTTTTTCAGTCTCTCTGTCCACATGGAACATAAAATTTCATGTTTCTTCCTTCTACAACTCTAATCACCTGTAATGGGACTAGGGGTTTAATCATTACTTATAGTTGTTTGAAACTACTCATTAAACACAAATCAAGAAGATATAACTTGCATTTAAATCTCTGTATTTTGGCAATTTGCAAAAACCAAAGAGGTACTACCTGATTTGCAATATAAATTTCCTTATCCATAATTTAAAAGAGCTTGTGCTTTTATGAGTCTCTGATAATCAATACTTTGAGGTGGCATCCTTTACCTTCACAGTGCTTTAGAATGATGTGCTGAAATACAACTTAATATTATTTTCCTTTCTTTAACCTGTCACAACTTATCTTAGTACAATCCAGATGCCCAAAACTGAATAAATTATAGGTTACATATTTAATCTGTGTTGGCTCAAAGTACTGTCGATTATGTTGTTACTTTTCTGACACACAAACAATCTGTTAACATTAGTTTGGCATCTACTCTGTTACTATGAATCCTCCCACAAGTGAAGGTTACAGCTGCTGCACAAAAACACATGATCTTCATTTAATTTAACACTGACCTCACCTGGATTGCAGAATTTCTCTTTTCATCCCTTTTTTTTTTCCCCAACAGTAACAATGGGAGAGTGCATATAAAATTAAATCTTAGTCCTTCCTCCCTCCTCTTTGTTGCTTGACCCAATCTATTACACACATGAGAAAACAGGAAATCTCCAAAGACTATCTATGGAAATCCTTTTTGCACATTTCCAAGAAAGGAGTAGTGAATGTCATTTACCAGCTCTGAAGGGGGATGGGAGATGCCCAGGGACATGTGACAGCATCCTGCATGCCCCAAGGTGCCTATTTATACTGAGGTAAAAGATAGGGCATTTTCCCTTCAGACTGTACCCCCTGTCACTGGCAAAGTGCATGGTCCAAAAGAAGACAACCTGTGTGTGCTAATGCTATGGATGTTGCCATCTCGATCACCATTTCCACTACTCAGATTTCCTCGTTCTTGAAAGAGTTTGATTACATGCAGGAGCACCCTGGGACATGGCTCTTATTTTTGGGCTATATAAACTCTGTGTGCACAAAAAGTAGTATTTATTGATGTGCACTGCACTGTTTATCATCCCTCAAGTACTTTCTTATCAGTTCTGTTCTCATGTATATCAGCACTGCATCCTGTACTTGAAGGTCATTGCCAATTGAGTTATCAATGTATTAGATGTGACAAAAAAGAGTACAAAGGCATCTCAGTTAGGGAGTTGTCACATCAGTTCAGAACTCTCCTTAGACTGAATGCATCCTTGATGCTGTCAGGACACGCAGTGTATCCTAATAATCCAAGATGGTAACAGAAACACACACAAGTGTCCAAAAAACAATTGTTGGTATTGCACTTAACCCAAGGGACATACATTTGTCATAATAATCATGCCCATACTAGAAAACTATTACCATAAGAGTATCAGGAGGTGTCAAAAATGTTACGTACTGGACTGAAATCATACCTAGTTTAAACTGTCCCCTGTAAAATTAAACCAGGACACAGGACCTCTAGTCATTACCATCCAACACAGAAAGGTTACTCAGGCTCCTGAGGCTATAGCTACTGTGCATTTATTTCCTATCAAAGATTTCACAAAGTACAGATAAAGCCAAGGAAAAACCACACACAGAGTAGCTGAAGTAAAAAGTTAGTTCACTGCATCTCTGCAACAGTTTCAAGAAAGAAGCAAATAAATAAATAAAGCCACTCATTCATATCGATGAAAAGTGGATCATTTTGGTCCTAGGTTACTACTACTCTACACAAATCAGATATTTCATTCTAAATAATGGTGAAATAACAATAATTAAATCATTTACATGCAAGGGAGGAAAGCTTGATAAATGACAATAGAAAATGTACCCTTTATGTCTGTATATAGAATAACTCCTCCAGATTCACAAATGATGGAGGGACATGGCAAGGGACACATGCTTCATAGAGTCATAGAATAGAATAATAGAATTTAGGGGTTGGAATGGACCTTACAGACCATCTAATCCCAAGCCCTGCCCTGGGCAGGGTCACCTCCCACCAGAGTAGGTTGCTCAAGGCTCATCCAACCTGAACACTGCCAGGGTTGAGGCACACACAACTGGGCAGCCTGGGCCAGGGTCTCACCACCTTTGGAGTAGAAACCTTGTTTCTAATACCTAACCTAAACTTCCCCTCCTTCAGTTTGAACCCATTACCCCTTGTCCTATCACTGCAGTTCCTAACACAGAGTCCCTCTCCAGCTCCTTGTAGCCCCTTCAGATATTAAAAAGTTGCTCTGAGGTCTCCACACAACCTTCTCTTCTCCAGGCTCAACAGCCCCAACTCCCTCAGCTTGTCTCATCATGCTTGATAGAAAGGAGCTGTGTTGCTTTTATGGCTCAAAAATTAGAAATAAATAATAAAAAAGAGATGCATTGTACAATTTCCCCTGTTTTCGTCCTTAGCACTAAAAGCTGGATGCAGGTGCACCTGGAAGGAGGATTGCTACTTTGGGAGCATCCACTGACAAAATTGACTTTCTTCCTGGGTCTTTTGAAGTCTATTATGTCTATAGTTAATTACAGTGAAAAAAATACATAAGCTCTGCTTAAATTCTTGACCTAGAGCCTATTTGTGGTACAGCTCTTGCACTAACTCTGTAGCTAGTGGTGAATTTCAGATTTGCCTCCTTTGCCAAGAAAAATCTTGGTCAGTTCTCAGACCCAGATTTGTCTCACAGTTATCTCAGTGTTATGCCAACGTGGCCCTCCTGGGGTTATTCCATTAACATAGAACAGATAGACCAGCTCCTCCCATACGACCCTTCCCCCCCCAAATTCCATTCTTTTTAATTGTTGTCAAACCTGTACTTTTCTTTATGTCCATAAAAACGTGCATCCACCCCATTAGCATACACGGAGGACTCAGACAAAAGGACAGAGGCTGTGCTAAACATTGATATATTTGGGGATAATGGACAAAAGAGTAAAAATCAGAAGTATGAATTAATGTTGAATAAAGAATGTCTATCCAATTCAACACAAGATTGATGCTACTACCAGTATTCCAGTGTTTTGGTAAAATATATTACTCTGACAAAAACTTGATGAGATAATATTGATTTATAATACTGTAACTGAAAATCCCACAAAAACACAGTTCTGCTCTCAGCTTTGCCCTTGATATCGTTGCCAAACTTGATTGGAAATACATTTATTTTGATTTCTGAAAATCTAGTTGTGTTTAGCCGTTTCACAGCTGGTGAGCAGTAAAGATGCTTCTGCCTCATTTACAGATCTGGAACATGAATCAGACAATCAGCTGGAACATTAGTCAAAGTGATCACTAGCTAATGATTTCTGACAGGAGCTGCAGTCACAGGCTAAGGCCCAGCCTGGCCAGCAGCATCTGACAATATTTTCCTGAAGCCAACAATAGGTGTTGGTAGGCAGACAATGCAATCATACCACTTAGTACCTCTTTAATACTCTCAGAAAAAAACACATAGTTCTGATGGTGGCTAAATAATCACTTTGATATGGTCTAGTGAAAAGACAAGTGCATGCATAGGCATTTTACAGCCCAGTCAACTCTGCCCAGTAGCTCCCCAAGAAATGCATGCTTAAAAATGACTAAAAGGTGCAGTCTTATTACTGCAAATTGAGTGGTTCTATGCCTGTGACCATCCTCAGTAAGGTAAAAGGAAAGTTTCACAACACAGACCTAGATGTATTCTTTTTTTGTCCCAAACACAGAGAGGGAGGTCGGACAGCAGTAAGAAAATGGCATTGTTTGTGTAGTGCATTGATCACAATGAGCAGAGCTCAGGAAAATCATACCCCAATGTCAAATGATTGTGAGGCCACACCTTGTTAAGTGCAAAATGTATTCAGACATAGTGAGCATCCAGGGTAGAAGCACCACAGCATTCTGCCTGTATGCTCACAGAAATGAGAAAGAGGGAGAAGTCATGAGTTGCCACATCTGTTAGTTCTTCTTTTCCCTAACTTAAATTCACCAACTCAAATTAAGTGAATGTTCACTCCTTGCCCTTAGCTACGTCCAATTACACTGTACTGTTTTGATAAATAAATGGACAAAAGTTTAACCAGAATTGTACAAACTTCATCACTCTTCCTGCAGAAAGAATTTCTCTGGTATTGGCCAAACTGGTCTGGTCCAGAACTACTGCTGCAGGGACTTTATTGTGGGTATTTGGTGAACACACAACGTAACCATGCGCTGTGGAACAAGGGAATCAGGGACAGGGGAGGTGGAAGAAACACTCAGAAATCTGTCCAAGTCAAATGTCAAAGTGGAACACCTTTGTTCATGACTTTCTACATTTTCTTGCTAGGACATGGCTATGACTGAGGTGCTGCCTGGCTGACACTCTCTCTGCAGGGTAAGGACTCCATCCAGTCCACACTCCTCCCTCCCCTGATACACTTGACTAGCAAGTGTGATGTTTACCTTTATGCTCTATTAATGCTCAGCAATACAAGCTTCAGCTTACTCGTGTCTGCATCTGCTTGAAGGATTAGAGGAGGGAAGACAAACATTTCACTCATTCCTTAACAGTCTATCAGGATAAAATCTAGGGCTCTTTTCCTGTATCAAATCTTGTATTCTTGGCATCATATTCAGCATATGTATGTGTTGCTTTGATTCTGAATAGATGATATGTAAATATAAGTAACTAATTGAAGAAATTCCTTTCCTCAGAGTAACTTCTAACTCCTCTTGGCTTCCACGAGGTCAGGAGTTCAGTCTATGCTTCATTTTGCTACATAGAAAACTTAAAAGAGACTAAATGTACAGATGATTGAATAAACATTAACTTTGGTTCCCATCCTTATTTATTCTGTATTAGCTTCTGTATTACCATCC